AATCAGTTGCTGAGAGCAAAATCTCCAGAGAAGCAATCCTGTTTCCAAAAACCAAAAACACATAGTGCAGTATTTGGTCAAAATGCAACTTGCAACATTTCTGCCTGGAAACATAAAAGTGAAAATCAAGTTCAGGGATTTCACAAAAATGGTATGTAGTTTTCTGATGGAGAACTTAAATTGTGTTGTCTAATAAATTTTTATATATATGACCTCAGTTACCTGGATTATACATACTGTTTTGCTTTTTTAATGCAAATGTAATAAATTGTTATATATTAAGCGAGTTTTTAAATAATGCGGGGTTTTTCAGGTTTTACTAACAAATTTATTGGTATCATTAAGTGATCCTTTTGAAAATTAAGGCAGCTGGACTTGGTACAAAGAAACCGTAGGTTTTTTTCAGAATTGTGTTCCTTCTGTGATTAGGGTAGATTCCACGAGGAGCCTTCTTTTGAAAGTTTGGATGTAACTTCAAGAGGAGTATTTTTAGATAGGCTGAGCAGACCTAGGGTAACTTGCATAGGAGCCAGTGTAACTGCAGAAACACCTACATTTTAAGACACAACTCCTTAAGGCATAAGGGAGTTTTTTCTTTGGGGGAGAGAAAAAGGGAAGGAGTATTAGTTTTGGTTTGGATTCCTTTTCCCCTGATCAGATTTATTGTGTGGCTTCAGGAATACTGGCACTGGTACCAAGAAAGAGTCACTGGACAGAAATGAACTGCTGGGGGTGTGATGAGAGCAGGGCTGGGCCAACAGGAGGGGGGTGAGCACCTGTCAGTATCAGTCTGAAGTAACAGTGATGAAACTCAGCTGTGACTTTCAGGAGGAAAGAATAAAACTAGTGGTCCAGAAATGGGTCCCTGGAATATGTGTAGGTTTCATAGTAGACTGCAAACTGTTAAAAATGGGTGCTTTGATTTTAATACCAGGCTAATCCTTTTAATTAAGTTTTCCTCGTGAACAGCTGCATGAAAACTCCATTCCAGTTATGGAAATTATGTACTCTTACACAACTTTTTTTAAAAAAGTTTAATTCTCTTAGTAATAAAATAAGCTGTATGTCAGCAGAAGCCTTTTAGCAGTTCTTTGATCCGTTTTTTCCTTGGTTTGACAGAAATCAAGGAAAAGGACAGGTGACAGTAATCTTTTAATAGGAAAATAGAATCTTGTCCCCCTAAACAAGCCGTTCTTACTCTTAAAACTGCATATCCGTCAGTTAGCTTTACCATGTAGTAAAGTAAGATGTACTATTGGTTACTTTAAAATTAAATGATAGTGTCATTAATTCAGTAGTTGTATTAGTAGTAATCTTGAAGTTGATCACCAGTCTCCACCAGTGTCTCCTAAGAACGTTTGTGTCCAAATTGATGCTCCGGTACTCTTCTGAAGGAATGTGAGAAGGTGCGATAAGCTTAATTGGCCTCAGTGTATCAGTGAGAGAATGGTGCAGCCTTCCTGCTATTAAAGTAAACCATTACACTTTCACTTCCCTCTTATGTTTAATTCCCAATACTATTATGTCTGCTTACAGAAATTACCCAAATATTTAGATAAGCATTTAGAATTAATTTTTGCATGCCACTTATTGCAAAAAGTATTAATATAAACAAAGTCTTGATACTTTCAAGAAAACCATTGATGAACAGAAGTAATGGAATGAGGAGGGTCTGGAAGCCCACAACTCCCTTTGCCTAATCAAATCAGACTTGGTTAAATTTGATTGGATTTATCTAAAAGGACCTTCTGGAATTCGTAAATGTGAGTGGAGGGGAAAAAAACCCCATATGGTAATCTTCTAGCCCTAGTGACTAAGAGGCGAAGAAGAGATAGGGGAAATACTGAGATTTCAGGGCTGGGTGTTCATAGAGCTCTGACGTAAACTTTGTTGACTTCATTAAAAAAAAAATCCATTCTAGTATGCGCTCTAGGTGAAGCAGTCTGTCTTTTCATAGCAAGGATATCCAGTCCCAGGATACTGGATGGAACTTCTGTTTCCTATTCTATTCCACAACCCACAGAAAAGCTTCTATCAAACCAATAAGACAGTGGCTGATGAGTAACTATTGGCACAGTAAGCTTGAAACAGTTGGTCAGACCTAAATTTGAAGGCAACTGACAACATTTTGTAAAAAATCTCAAAAGGGGAGGTATGAGTGAAATTGCATAGCATTAAAAAGCAACGTATTAGACCCGAGACTTGTGCACAAGCATTGTATGAATAGAACAGTTGTTGAAATATTTTCATTAGTAACTCACCAGTGAAGGCTTTCTGAAAAATATACTTAATGAAACGGGGAAACTATTATACCATCAAGAAAGCATCATTTGGTGTTAGTTCTCACATTGCAAAAATAGGAATTAAAAAAAACCCTGACACTTTAGATTTCTAACCAGCAAACATAACATGCATTACTTTTTCTTCCATGGCAATTTAATCAGTATTTGTTATGCATAAGTGATTGACAGTAATTGAACCTAATGTCCTGAATTACCTATTTCATGATCTTGAAACAGTGCCCTGCTAAAAGCTGGAAATACACTGAATTGCTAATTTTTAGGGGGTGAATTTTGTTGAAGTAGAGAATGAAGTTAGACTTCTGGAAAACGAATTTATTGAATAGGGCATTCAAAATGTTCTTAGCTTTAGTTTGTAAGGTTTGTAGCTCAAAAGCAAGACACAACTTGTCTGAGATGTAGAAGTTTCATTTATGACCTTGCATCTTTTCTGTTTCTCATGATAATTCTCTTTAACAATAATCAGTTGAAAGGATGAATTTCAGATTTCTGGACTGTACAAAGGATTTATTTTTGCAAGTGTGATTACTAAAAATAGTAGTAATGTTAATGTAAAAGGGAAGATGAGAAGCAGAGTAGTCCAAATTACAATCTGTTTCTGAACTGTTTGGCATGATTTGTATAATTAAGATGTTTTAATTTTTAATTAAAATTTTTGATTCTTTATAGTATGTTCAATGATCAAAGGCTTTCAAAGTATTCAGAAATAAAAGTAGTCACTAAAATATTTAATTGCACCCTGTATAAGTATTTTCTTCAAGGTAAGGGAAAAGTAACAGCAGAAATGGGTGAATGTGAGCAGTAATTAAGGATTTGCCCTCAAATAAATTGCCAGTATTTTTTCTGTCCTGTTTTATACTCTTCAATTAGATGGGGATTATTTATTTTATGAAAATGTGCATATGTTTTATTATGTTTGTGTAATTGTTTTGTAGAAGAAACCTATTGTGGAAATTATTGTGGAAATCGTTTGACCATTCTGTTTCTCTAGTCGTACTTACTGCATTGGTTGGCACACATTGCACAAAACGGTCATTGTTTACATTAAATTAATTTTGGTGGTTTTAATGAGAGTCCTTTAACACAGATAATTGTAAATTGAGTAGTGAAACAGAATAAAGATGTCTCTTTCATACATAGATTGTTTGTATTAATTTCTTCGTGACAGTTTGCAGCATCTTCTGTTTGCGTGCTGCCTGTAACACGCATATGCGTGTACTGTTTGGGTGGGGAGTGTTGCGCAGCGAGATCAGGCAGGAAGCTTGGCAAGCTTTTGCTCTCATACAGTTAAAAAACGGTTTCTCTAATATATGATGCTGAATTAAAAGTGCAGTACCAGGTCTAGATCCAGTGCTCTGCGCATCTTTCTTGCAACTTTTTTTTTTTTTTTCCCCAAGTTTCTGAATAAGTCTTTTAGAATAGTGGTGGCAGGACTAAAACGCCTCACTCATGGGGTGTGTGTTTTGTTCTATTGCAATCACTTAAACGTGTTAATTGTCTCCTTTTGGTGCCTTTTATAACTATGTACTTTATAAATCTGATCCAGTCCTTTACAATGACAGCATACAGGGAGCTGAGTAAATATGGCCAAGTGACAACCACACATTGATCAACTGCGACCCACTGATAACCCAAGGAAACCACCGAGGAGTAAGTGACTAGTATAGAAGTTTGTGAGCTGTAACTCTTCAAAGATCTCTGAGGAACAGCTGTAGTACGTGGGATTGTGGTTTCTTGGCTTTGACAGCTACAAATTGGCATCAGCAGAACCGGTCTACGAAAACTACTGTAATCCCAGACACTTCAGAGGATAGTTTTACTGAAATGAACTTGCAGAATTCAATAGCTACCACCTCAAAGCAAGCTCAATCTCCCTAGTCCCTGTGGTGGGAGTTCAGCACTGAGCCTAGGAGCATGCAAAACGTGCTTTCCAATTACACAGCCAGGTGACGTAGCTTAACTGTAACAACGCAGTTCAAGGCACAAAATGTTTCGTTTTTTTTGAGAATTCTACCTAATTCTAACTTGCCAGCATCTTGGCCACCGCAAGCTAGAATGATCACTGCAAAACTTGTCAGTATCTACGGATTTTTGTGTAACAAAATCGATGGTTTCCCTCCTTTTTTTTTTTAAGGCAGTTAATCAGAGGCTAAGCAATGATTTCAAATGGCTTTAAGGTCTAGGACAAAGACTAATGCACTTCTATGGTATGGTTTCTCCCTCCATCTGCATATGTGTGAGAGACAACTTTCACAGAAGAAAGTGTAAGTCTGTGGAATTTATCTTTCAAGAATAAATTCTGTTAGCACTTAAGACCAGTAACTAGCACAACTACTCCTTTTGAGTTTTGAGGTACTAAAGAGAATGCACTGAACAGACTGACAAAAGTCAGGCTCTTGAATGGCCTCAAGGCTGTTTTAAAAAAAACAAACAAACAGCAAACACAACAAACTACAACTTTCCCTCCCCTTGCAGAAGCATTTATTTTCACCCACAAGACAAAACTGTAGACGTGCTTGGTTTTAAAACTTGTTCTCCTGCATACATATATTCATAAAAAGTTTTAAAAAAAAGCCAGTTTTACAAATTATTAAAATGTGTAAAAGTAAACAAAATCTGTTTCTAGTATTTTGCCCATAGGGAAAAAATATGTAAATGCAAATAATTCATGTGTGACTTCTTATCAACTTTTATATCCAGCTATTTTTGTTGCTTCTTTTTCTTTTTCTCCGGTTCATTCTTGCTGCTTATCTCTGTAGGCAGATTTGCGGGCACATCATTTCCTAGTATCTACAGTAAGAAAAGAATTAGATGTTAGAACACTTCTAACTCAATTTGAGGTTATGCTAGCCTGATAAAACTTGAGCTTACTTGCACAGACCTTTTACAAACACTGTATCAACATTAGAAAATTCTGTTCGTAGTCTTCTAAAAAAGGGTCTACCATCATATAACAATCACAGCTAGAACACTCAGCTGAAGTAAAGGCTGGAAAAGATGAGGGAAATAGCAGCAGCAACAGCACCCCCCCTCCTGGATTGCCAGCAGTTCCTTTTGCAGCAGATTACGTGTGCTGCCTTCTCAGTTGTTTGCTGTGCCTTAGCAAATGCTTGTAAGGCAGGGGTTAGGAATGAGAGAGGTGGAAAAGGGTCTTAAACCTAACAATTTTCAGTTTGCTTTTAAAACAATCACTACTGCAGTACTTTCTGAAGTGCTGCTCCTGTCAAGCAGAGGCCCTGTCAGGTTCAGGACACCACATAGTAAAAAAGGCATTTAGCTTTGGTAGAAACTGGAAAAACTTTTGAAATAAATAGAGAAGACTTTTTCTAAAGCAAAGAAGAACAAGAATAAAGAAAAGCCTGTATGCTTACAGAGAATGACTTGTCCTCAAGGGAAGAGGTGATCAAGAAGTATGCTATGCTTTCTTTGAGAATATGGAAATGAGCAGCATTCAAGCAGAGGAGAGTGAAGGAGGCTACGATGAAATAGTTCATTTAAGTAGGGTTCATAAAACAACTGGACCGAGACGAGATGCATGCGTGCTCCTCTACCCTTGAGTCTATGGGGAAACGGTAATGTCTGATTAAGGAAGGTAACAGGCACTGCAGAAGCTCGATGCAAGGAAGCTGATCACTAGGACTTTAATACCACGTTACAAATTATGTGAGTGACAACAGCACATACCAGTAGAAAAGTCATTTTTGGTCAGCTAGTTAGGATGGCAGCGATTATGACATGCCAAGGAGTATCGGAGAGGCTGTGAGAACGGGTAACATGGTAACAGTAAGTTACCTTCAACGAGTAAATGTCACAAGAAGGCTCAAGACGGTGTTCAGGTTTCTAGGTGCCATAAAGGCCTGTTTCTAGGAGCAACTAGTCAGAACCCATGAAAAGGGAGAAGCAACACTTTGCCTGAGGACCTGTTTAAGAGCTTACCCATGGAACCATCCCTGTAATGCTGATTTCAGCATACTTACTCAAAATGCATCACCATGGTAGAAGGAAAAAAAACACCCAAACTTTAAAATGCATTACATCAGCAGCAATAAGGCATTTAATGAAGATTTTATTAAAGGGGGTTGCAAAAAGGTAAAATGCTTTCAGGGGTGAGGTGGAATTTAAGAAAAGACTTGGAATAAGAATGCCTTTTATCAATAGAATTTCAAGAGAACAGTTAATAGAGTGATCAGTATTATAAGTCAACAGACATCCTTCCAAGAAGTGAAAAACCTGTCCAAATGAAGAAGTAGTAAGTGTAAAATTAAGTTAAAATAAACAGGCAAGCCCAAAAGACTGAGGAACAGTAATAAAAATTCTCTAAGTAAGAGGCAGGGAGTTCCTCCTTGCTTCTCCATCAATGGATAGCTTGATGATAATAAAAGCCTAAAGTAGGCATGAACAACAGGTAATTAAAGTGTATTTGAAGCACTCAAGAAAGTTAAGGCCAACATCAAGAAAACTGTTACAAATTACCATGATCAAAAAAAAAAAAAAAAAAAAAAAAGAATGTTTAGAACAAACTGGGTAAGAGGAATACTAACAGTGCGGGGACTGGACACTGTTCATCAGAGTTCTAAAAGCAAGTATAAAACTGTCAGCTAGCAACTGTTGCTGTGTATAAACTCATTGCCTAAAACTGGTCTTTGCAGTAGAAGGAATGAAAGATAATGCAAAGTGTTCCCACATAACACCATTCACCACAGAAAATCCTGTAGGGATCTATGGTGTGCTCACATTCAGAATCATGCATGTGCTTCTGTTCCTCCCAGCTCAAAAAAATCATGTAATGGAACTACAAAAACTTAAAGGTGATGAGGAACATCAAAGATAGGAAACAGTTTCCAGAAAAGCAGAAGCTAGCATAGCGGATAATAGAGTTATATAGAATCGAGTGGCATGGGAATGGTAAACAGGAATAAAAGACTTTTTCATAGTGTAGGGAATACAGTATATCATCAAGTAAGAGTATTAGACATCATGCTTGAAATGTATGAAAGGGAGCTGTGAAACAAGATACTATGGGAGTCAGAAGTGTAAGCTGGGGGAAAAAGCGATTAAACAAGTTCACAGAACAAGACTCTATCTACTGAACACAAAGATGTGTGTCTCTAGGCGAGCTGTAAATTGCTGGAAGCTTTGAATGGAGACAAAGGGAATGATCACTGTCTCTGCATCTTATTCCTATACTCGTTCCTTACCAGGAAGGAGGACTAGTAACTCATGTTTAGGATGACAGTATTTTGGATTAACCAGTATGGCCACTCCCATATCAAGGGATAAGATAAAATTATAGTATTGGCTTTGTTGTAGAGCAAGGACCTTCACAGAAATTAGTATAAAGGAAGGGGGTGTGGGGAAATCAGCTTGCATTAGCCTTGCTTTGTGTCTATTTTCAATGCACAAAGCATGTCCCTCGGGGCCTGGAGTCACTGCAACAGGAGTGTTCCCGAGCTACGCCCACAACAGCAGCTCTGACAAACACTAGTGGGTGAGCGCAAGCAGTGGGCAGCTCAGCATGGGAATGCACAGCAGGACACAAGGTTTCTTCCTACTACAAATTTCATTATCTACTCCCACTTTTTGAAATCGTGAGGATCGCCTTCAACTCAAGCTAATACAACAGCTCAAAAATGAGAATATTTACATGTGTTTGGAAACGGATATTTCTCAGAAAAAAAGAAAATAATGTTTGACTGTGTAAACAACAAGGACCTCTTGCTTATTTTGGGTTTTCTTTTTCCTCTGTGATTACACATACTCAATTACTGCAACCATCTGTTTACCAAAAAAGTCACATGGAACGGAATGAAAGTACACCATCTCATAATGGCACGCAAATTACTCAGCAGGCATGAGGTGCGAGACCAGGTGAAAACCCCAGTGTCCCAGATGCACTAAGCAGCTAGAATTGAAAACTCTTAAGACCAGAGACACGGTTATTAGGACATTACAGTTCTTACAACATTATCAAGAGAGAACTTTTATATTGTGGAAGTTGTAAGAAAGGACTGCCATTTACAGCCACCAATTATACAGTTTCCTTCTGAGCCACCCATCACAGTTATACCATAATTTACTGGAGCAAAAAGATGATCCTACTGAGTTTTGGCAGATTTCCAAAAGAGAGATCTGATCACAGAACCATGAAATTCAAAAGATATTACTTCAGCAAATCATCATCTTTCCCAGCAGTGGAAATATCCCTGATGGGCCCAGAAGGGAAATTTAATTTAGAGCCCTTTATTCTTTTCAACAGCCAGTGAAAGCAGACCTGTGCTTTATTGAGAGTAGATATGAAGCAATCGCTACAATCTGCTGCTCAATGATTTTCTTCTTCTGGCTTAAATTTCAATTTTACCATATGCTGAATTTTTAAGGATTACTGAAAGGTAGTATGATTCTATGAATCACAAATCTTGTGCCTTACCTTTGGTTCTACCAACACCATCCGAATTTTCTGATGTTGGATGTTGGAAGCATCTAACATAATGTTCACTTTAACTTTATCAAATACACGTAATGTCGTGTCTTCCACAGTAAGTGACAGTACCTGAAAGTTCAAAGTTTGTATAAATACTCACTGCTTACCATGTCTTACGTTTTTTTACAAGTATTTTTGTAGAAAATTAGTGATGTCAATAAAAATGAACACAAATTTCTATCGTGAATATTCAGGGTCACAGTATGTGGTATATACATTTTTGTGGTATTCTCTCAGATAACTACATATTAGTAGTATCTATTACAGAAGTCCTGTCAGAACCTGTTTATTTAAACTTAGAAAGACCATAGTGGCACTACTACTACATATTAATAAACTTGCATTTAGAAAAGCCTCGCTTGCCCTCTAACTCCAACTAGAACAGATTTTAGTCATTCTGCTCACTTTAAATTTAAAACCTTTAGGTTTTGATTTGTTAAGAACAAACCTTATAAAACATACCTCATTGTTGTAATCCAGTCTTGGTATTGGTTTACCTTTTTCTTCAAAGAAGACTGTTCCTTCTAACCCGTACTTGGGAATCAGAACAACAACTGCATTTTTTCTTACAAATAATATATATGCATCTTCATTCACTACTCCTTTGCTTTTGAAGAACAGCTGTAACAAAAGTAAGATACATGAATAAGAAAAAAAAGCACCAGAGCATTCTTTTTTAAGGTTTACAAATATACTGGCTTAAAAAAATAAAACCATTCACATACAAATCTATACTTAGTGATAATTACACACCATATATTGAAAGCCAATTTTAAAAAAATCCCATAATCTATTTATAACATTACTATACTGTTAAGCATTCATCATATTTATAAAAGCACAAAGTAAAAAGCACCCTCAAGATGCCATTACTCTAATTTTTCAGAACCAGCAATGCAATGAAGGTCTTCCTCAAAGCAGCAGCCCTCATTCTTAATCATTCCTGCAGACTTGCTCAGTTTTGCTCCACAAAGCACGATGCAGTGTTCCCTCCCTTCCTTCAACTATGGACAATTCATGTTGATTTTAATCCTCCTATCTCAGAACTACTTACCTGTGTATGGAATGCAACAGACGCTCTTTGTGCATATTGAGCCATTTTATGCCGGTAATTGAGATTTTTACACATATCCGCTAGTTTATGTTTATCTGTAAGTTCTGGGTAAGTACTATCTGCTCCTATGGCCACTGCCAAAAGTCGATGTACTATAATGTCAGCATACCTGCAATAGATAGGATTAAATTATAAGTGACATAGCAAAACATACTTTTTTAATTTAAAAAAGTTTCTGAATATAATTTTGGTTTTATAAATATTATGAAAGTTTTTTGATCTGTAAATGACGGTCTGCTGATAACTCCCTGTATTAATTCAAGACCACTCTCTTTGCTGCCCAAAGATACACTCTGCCTAGCCGGAATGTTTTCTGGCTGTTTTCTAAGAGAAATTCTTTACTATATTCTACCAATAGAGCCTGTATTGTTGAATGTTTACAAAAAAGAAACAAAGTTTTATTTTTGGACTAAAGAACGATGTTTCACCATGGCGGCTTAAGCTGCTCTCTCTTCCCTTTCCCATAAACTAGACAAATTTAGCGTAGAATGGTATTTCAATGCCATGGATCTGCAAAGCAGATACACACCTTGGTACATAACTTTTATTAGAACTTCAGCCAGGCACTTTTTAACGCATCTGTTAGCAACTATAATTTACTGTTAGGATTCCCAAAAGCTCCACAAATTATCCACACAAATACAGGTGGATGCAAATTCCTATGCAAGAGATTTCACTTGATATGTTTCTAAGGAACAAAATACGACAATTATTTCCCTCAAAGCTTAGATACTTCTTGGTTAAAAGAAAAAAAAAAACCCTCATTTTCCAAGGTGTACAATTTCATTACCGTGCAACAGCTACAGCAGCAAGTTTCAAATTGGCAGTGTTTTTATATATAAAATACAGTCTCCTCAAAATTTAAACACAGGTCCCACCTGAAAAATGACTGGCCAAACTCTGCCTCAGTCTCTGACTTATGTAATGCTAACTGATCCCGAAGTACAATTCTATGCCACAGGTATGCATGAGGGATTTATTTCTCCAATTTTTATGAGTCTTTAAAAAAATTTTATTAGACCTTAGGAGTTGTAGACAGTGAATCTAGGAGCTTATGTGAAGATGGATCACCATGTAAACGTGCTGCTGTTTTAACTGAAATCTAAAGCTGAACTGAAACAGTATTTTAAGTGGACAACACCACAATTTAAAACAGAATTTCTTCACAAATAGATCACTTCTTTTCGTTCTCTGAAACTTTCATAAAATAAAATTACCTTCTAATGGGTGAGGTAAAGTGGGTATAAATAGGTGAGGCTAAACCATAGTGATGAAAATCATTATCCATTCCAGAGCAGAAATAAACAGCCTGCATCATGCAGCGAGTGGTCAAAATTCGCAGCAGTGTATTTAGATAGGGGAACGTAGGAGATTCAGCTTTGTCTAATGATTCAGCTAAAGCCTTTGCTGAATCTGTCTTAATTTCCAAATTCTGCAAGGAGGGGGGGAAAAAAAAAAAAGTCAGGTATTACTAGCCAATATTAAGACAGTATAAGCAGAAATATAACAGCTACATCCATGCTGATCTTAACAACTGGCACAGGTACCACACCTAGTAACAACCTAATAGAATGCCACTATTGCCCAAAAAAAAAAAAAAAATCCACCCAGGCCCAGATCCCTCCTTCACTGTTACTAGTGCTTATGTTTATGCAAACAACAAAAAGGTAAGGCAGTAGCCTAGGAATTCAGAAAAGACATCCATTCAGAACTAAGAAACACTTTATGTGAATGTTAACAAGATTTCTATTTCCTTTGGTTTTTTTCATCCCTTTATTGAATAAATCAAAAAGTATATGCAAAAAAAAAAAAAAGCACCACACGAAGATTCTCATCCAAGCACAATGTAAGCAGTAATCAACCTTCTTGTATGTCCTCCACAAAATTATGAACACTTATACTTGGAGAAGTGATTTGTAGAACTAGTACTGTATGACATTAGGCTTGTTCCGTTTGCCAGTGTTCCCTGATAAAAATTCAGGTAGTGTGAAAATAAATAACGCATTTTTAATTTCCAGTCACACAAAGTAAGTTTCATCACAAGATCAGCTGAATGTTCTTTCCTTCATGTACACCACTGACAACAAAATATGATCTAGAGATCAAATTATGGCAAAATAATTGCATATTTATTAAAAAAGTGTAACAAAAATATAGTGTATTAATACCTAATTGTGATGGTTCTGTCAGAGTAGTGAAAAATCACTTTGGTTTATTAAAAGAATGTTTAGCTATGCACAGGAATTTGGCTTTCCAAATAAAATGGTACGTTAAAAATAATTTTCAGAGTACAAATTAAATCATTATCATTATTGCAGTTTTATAGCAGTGGAAAATGAAATGGGCTGGGTTTGGGCTCATCTATTAATCTTACACTGATAGAATTTGGGAGTTTCTCTCTTGCCCCTAGAAAAAAAAAAGGGGGGGGGGGGGGGGGGGGGGGGGGGGGG